TCTTGGAAAAAGCCTTGCCACATTTGCTGGCCAAGTCAGCTTGAGGGGCCGCATTGAGGTGAGACTTGTTCCCACCATGATGACGACCTGTGCTTTGGGCCACTTTCCATGAACGCCCTGGATGAGTTTCTTATAACTCTCCACATAGGTAGACTTGGTGACATTGTTCGCGGCGTTGGCATCGTTGGTTCCAAGGTTGATGACGACGAGGTCTGCAGCTGGGTTTCTGGAAAAGTCCCAAGGCTCAGGGTTGTCTACATTCGTCTTGGTCAGTTGTGTGATTTTTGACAATTACTCAAGTTGAGAATCGGGAGGAAATCTCGGACTCGAGGCGGCAAAGGCTATTTGATGCCCAGGCGTAAAGGCAAAACACATACCTCCCCAAACCTCGGCTGCCCTCCCACCAGTGTCAGAAGTGTAGAACCATTGATAGGACTGCCCTCGAGGATTCCCCCAGCAATCTTGATCAGACACACAGATGCCTGGATACGCTGTGATTGAGTACTCGGTGTTTCCGAGACCTGCCCCGACGCCATACGCAAAGCCCGCCAGAGCTTCATACGAGTTGTACATGCCTGCCGATAGACTGTCGCCAATGAATTCAACCCGGCGTGGGTAGTCTGGAATCTTGACAAGCTTCTTGCCAGCAGCCACATGAACCGTGTCAATCTGCACTCCATATGCCCAGTTCGTCACTCTCATCTCGAAAGTAACGGGGCTGATGGGACCTGTGAGTTCAATTCCTGGCGTCTCGGGGCTCACAAAAAGATGCGTAGCGCCCGCCGTGACATTGGTGTGCATCCAGTCTAACCCAGCAATTCTGTAGGCAACCAAAGTGCCCTTGGTCGTCTCGTTGCCGAAAGTGACAGCGACGCTCTGACCTGTGAAGCCAAACTTGATGCCTGGACCGCTGTGCCATATTAGATACTCAAGAGTTTCTGTGCTTTGGGGAGAGCAGACTCACGCCCACCAAGATATCATCTTGGAGTCCCAACGGCCCTTGTAGGAGATTTCTTCCGCGTCGGCATCGTACGTCTCGTACTGGCCGTCTGCTAAGTTCACTTTGGTATCCGGGAAATCAGTGATTCTTGGACGACCATTCTCAAGGATGGTTGCTGTCACGGCACATGCGGAAAGCACGACTGTCGCTAGTGATGGAACGAACATCATGGCTACAGGTGCCTCTCAGTCAATCGACTGGAGTTGTAGAACGAGTATCAGCTAACTTGATCAATGCAAAGGCCATGATGAGCGCAATCGACACTTCTTATATGAATGCGCGGCCTGCAGCTATGCCTAGTTGATGTTGGCCCCTCATTGCGATATCAACTGGAGATCCGGGACGGCATAATAAGGACCGAGATGAGCGGGAAATCCGTCACTTTGGCCCAAGACTTGTTGGGGTGCATGCAGAGAGTATTCCGGCTATTCGGATCGCGAACCGCTTCCGATAGCTGGTCTATTTTCGAGGACAAACAGCGACTCGTCGCCAAAGTTGCTGAGGGATGAACACGCCAGAGGTCTCCTTAAAGTGCATGGAGTTGCTCCCTTCATGCATTTTGACAAGACGCTTCTTGTTCTGAGCAGGTCGAAACCAAACAAAACGAAACAAAAAAAAACCACGGCTTCGGTAGCCAACAGCTGGCGAGCCTCAGTCAGCTGGGATTGTCGGATTCGCGATTCGGCTCATCGCTAGAGATATCCGGCGGAAGCAGACACTCCGTGCCCAATTGGTGCGAGCATGTGGTCTGCAAGGTGTGATGTAATGTGGGCCGTCGGCGCAGGCGATCTCCTGCTGAGAGGGACGTGGATTCCGGAGGAGCATGTGTTCCAGTCCGGGCCGGCCGCACGGGGCGGGGCTTTGGGGGCACTGAAGGACGGCAGAGCCGTTGGGTTGTAGAAGCTAGACGGGTTCACCTCTGGAGAAGTCGGCACTTTTTAGCGACAGGGACCTATGCGCCAACCCCGTAGCGTTCGGTCTTCCTGAGGCAACGTGGTGGGTTAGCCGGGACACATGGTCATCGGCTTCGTCTGGATGTGCAGACGCGCGCGTAATGTGAAAAGCCAACCTTTCCTGGGCTAGACGTCACAGAAAATCCAGGAGAGAATAACGGACGAGGGCGGCTAGCAGCAGCGATCGTCGAGATCGAGGCTGACGTCCACGAAGCGCTGAACAAGGGGGAGGGGAGGGGGGCTCCCCAGAAGCAAGCGCCCTGCAAGGTCCGATGTGATGTGCATACGGGATCTCGATGATTGCAGCAATCAATCTGGCTGCCCGCGTCCTCTGCATATGATGAGGTACGGGATCGCACATTTAAGCAGCATTCGACCTGCAACCGTAATGCAAGGCCGTGCGTTTCGATTGGCGCTCGTCATCGGGCAAATTGTCTTTTTCTGCATGTTATCCTGGCATGGCTTGTTAGCACTCGACCGACTGCTGATGAGAAGAAAGGTCCTACCAACACCAACAGGAACCACCGTCAGGCCATGGAGAGAGCTGATTGTCGAGACGGTGCCGAGGTGAGGTGTCTGAGCCACGTGTGAGGTGTTTTGAATATTCCGCAGACCGGTGGTATCAAGTAAGGTAGGAGGCCGGTAAGGTAGAAAAATCAGGTGTTCGGCCAGCAAACACGCTACGAGCAGGCGGCGTCGAGTTCGGCGACGCCTGACGGTAGCAGGCCGTGTTCCCCGGAGGGCCGGTTGGAGGATGGAATGAAGCTATCATCCCTGCGGCGAGCTTGCCCAGCGTGACGGGTCTCAGGGAGGGCACTGGCCGCCTGGGTATCCCCACGGAAAAGGAACAGATCCCTTTGGACAGCTCGGTTGCCGTGGCTCGTGGTTCCAAGGTTTCGAGACGAACAGACCGGCAAGTTGCAGTCGTTCATTGATGCTCCATTAAGGTCCATGTCTCTCCTCGCAGGCGAGGTTGCGAGGTTGGGATGGGGGATTGCGGCCGAAATGAGGAAACGGTGTGAGCCAGTTCAATTTCGGGGAACTCAGAAGATGCCACCCGGTGTTCAGCGCAGCGCAGCATCGGGAACGCGCACAAGGTAAGGTAGGAAGAAGAGGTTCGGCCGAGGGACATGCATCAGGAAGAAGATTGCCTTGAAAGGTTGGTTGGTGGTTTGATGGAGGAAGGCAGGTACGAAGCAAGGTACCTGCCCAACTTACCTTACCTTAAGGTAGGGAAAGAAAGCATCAGGTGCGCCTTTCTTCCTCCCGGGCACTTGGAATTCTGGCAAGCGCGACCCCATCGTCACACCGAGCTGCATGGGCCCATACATCACACCTACCTTACCTGCACCTTCCTACCTCACACTCGTTGCTCTTGCTTCCTGCCTCCTTCCGTGCAAGAAAGCGCCAATGACGGGACCGACCTCCCGGTGTGGCTTCCTTGACCGTGTCCTCACCTTAAATATCGTCCCTGCCTCTTTTGGCCTCTTCGCACCCAAAGCGATCTACCTTACGTACCTTACCTGGGGGCCTTTGGTTCTTCTACACGACTCCTCCCGACTTTGGTTGCCTCTCCGTCTCTCGCCGCCATCATCGTCCTCTCCGACTGCTGCTTCTCACGTCACCTCGCCAACTAATTACCCGACAACCCCTCATTTCCTTCGAACCATCCGCAACCGAGGTGTTCGCAGTGTGCGTGGTGTCTCAGTTGCAAGATAGCGCAACGATTCCCTCCCACCAGCATCCATCACACCCACCGAAATCCCATCATCACGAGCGCCGTCAATCGCCATCCAGATAGGAAGGCCAATAATCTCTCAATACCACCACGGCGGAAACCCGGCGCTTGTCTCGAATTAACAACAGCCCCGAGGGCTGCCACACTGTTCCTGTTTCCCTCTGCACACCATCTGCATCTCGAATCATTCTCCCGCATCCATTGCGCGACTTGATGCTGCTGGAGACTTGACGGACTGGAAACCTCAACCAACAACTCCCTGTCCTGCTCTCATTGCCGGCTCAATTCCCGTCTCGTCTTCGCCATTATTGATGGCTAATCACCCAAGACAAGCCCTACAGCCACCTCGCATCAAGTTTGCTTTTTGCGCCGCTGCAGCATTACATCGTCGCCGTCACTAGCAGTTGCGGCGTCCCAGGACGTGGGAGATCGCCTGTCAGCTGATACCGAGCTTCCTCCATTGCACAAAGGAAAAAGAAACCACACCCGCAACCAAGACATCCAACAAGTCCTCGCTTCTTCCAATTCCCGTGCCGTCACCAGGGACCGTCTTTCCTTGTGTCCCTTGCGCGCCGACGCTTTTGCGCTCTTTTCCCCCCAACAGGTCAAAGCGGCCGAGACCTGGCCCGGGCCTGAGTTTGGGTCACCAAAGTTGGGACCTGTGCGGGTAGCAGAGCATCGCGGTGTTAGAGCGTGCGAAGTCACCGGTTGTGTATCACCAAAAAAAGGTCCCCGACTTTCAAGCACTGTCTCTCGGGCTCCCTCCTCTTCTTCTCTTGCCCTAAAACCCCCCTCCTCGAACTCCAGTCCAAGACAACACCTCTTGTCCGCGACTCGTGGCTACGATCACCTCCGTCTTGCGAAATCCTCCAGCCTTTCGCGCTTTCGCAAAGCACTCGGTGCCAGCACGACGACGAGCCTATCGATCCGCCTCACCCTTGCCGGGCTCGAACTCCGACCTCCGACCTCCAGCAATGCTCTCTGTCGCCTCCTCGAGATCATGACTTTGTGCGCGCTGAAATCGCCCAAACAAAGGCCGCTACGTTTCTCTGCTCCAAGTAAGAGCACATGCTATTCGTCGCATCCGCACACGCAGCTGCAGCTCTCCTCCGCCCCCGACTGTCGTCGACCCCCTCCTCTCCCCCGAACCCCACCTCCGCCAGGGACAAGACTCCGAATTTCATCGACGTCGCTGTAGCACCGCTGAGGAAGGAAGTTCCATCAAGCATATTGTCCCACACCGAAGCGCATCACCTACGAACGCTAGTCGAGCAACCAACCAACTGCGCACGGTGCGCTGCACCGAGCCATGTCGACCACCCATACGAACGCGGTGCCGGACTCGCAATTGGGGTTAAGCTATGAAGAAGTTCAACTACTGCGCCAAGGCCAGGCCGCGCTGGGCCAGGGAGCTGGAGGGGGCGGTTCAAATTCGTCCCGCGCCGCGAGCCGAGCTTCATCCCAGGGCTTGTTGCTGCTGGACAGCACCTCTTTAGCAGCGCTAGGACGGTATTTTGACCGCGTCATGAACCAAATCGAACAGCAAATCATCTACCTCAGCGAACAAAGCCAAATGTTCACCATGGCACAGTTCGACCGAGCAGGCAACCTGATCGAGGGCGCCGATGCCGAAATCCAGCGTTACCACGAGATCCTCCGGCAACTCGACGAGCTCGAGCTCGACTTCGATCGAATAAGACATATTAAGGAGATTGTGAGGGGATACAGATCCAGAGTTGAAGAGATGGAGCGTGAACTTGAACGAAGTAGTGCCTCGTCTTCACGGCACAGGGAGGGACACCACCATTCCTCCCACCGACACGGTCACTCCCACCGCCATGGCCATGAAAGCTCCCGCAGACATAGGCATTGAGTTGTCTGGCAGGCTGCGTACCTGCAGACTTGATGGCCCACGATCTCAGCTGGCAGGAAGCTTACTCTATGGGCGTCCTAACAGTGTGCATGGGGGATAGTCGTCTGAGGATGTCTCATTCATGTTGGGGGTAAAATATTGGTCACACGGCCACCATAAAATCACAAAAGGTCAAAAGGCCCCTCGTGCCAAGCGGGAACACACAGCACCGCGGGAGCAGGCGTCTGAGCCACAATGATGGCGGGGCTTTCGTGTACTATGGGTTGTGCGAAAAAAGGACATCGATGATCAAGACGGAGGGCCTCGCGGCTGGATAAGATGGAATAGCCTCACGGCTCGTTGGTTTACTTTCATGGCGTTCAATTTTCTTTTCTTGCCGAGCCTCAATGTTTCGGCGGTTCATGACGACATTTTCATCAACAACTCGGTTCTTCAAAGCTGGAAAAATACCCATCTTCCTTTGTATTGCGAAAAACAAAACTCAAGCCTCACGGCGATGAAACATGTTTCGATTCTGTTTCGATGGCAAGGCCAGCTTGTCGCTACCTAAGATGACGAGTCACGTTTTCTACTCTGTAGTATTGGTTTTTATCTCAGCCTGATCTCAGCCTGATGGAGGGGGGACGGACGAATTGCCCAAGACTAGAGGCTGACGTCCAATCCCATTCAAGTTTGTATGAAAAGTAATCACCCCCTTTTCGGCGTACCATTTAATCAGACAATTCTATCTTTCTCGACCTGTGTGTCCGCACTGTGTGCAATGAGGAGAGAGAGAGGAGGGAGATTTGCGCCCCTGACGCAGTTGGATCGCAGTTGCGAAGCGCTTAAAACCAAGGCTCGGGGAACCTCGGCCCTAAAGCGGCCGGCGGAATATCTCCTCCCCTGGGTTTTCCATTACTGAAGAATTGGACCAAAGGTTTATTGCTGCTGCATTGCACTTCGGCAGCGTGTGGCGTCATGTTCTGCGTTTTCTCTTACTATCTAATCTGATGCACGCCTGTAAGCTCGGTCGCAATGTGGCAATGCTGACGTCCCGGAGAGATGGCATGGCGAGATGGTCTTAGTGATTTGAAAGACTTATTAGGGGACATGAGATATAGTTGTTGGATCATCTCAACGTTGTCTATATTGTCGTCTATACTGTGGTACCCATGGTCGGCGTCGTCGTCTTTTCCGTTGTTGTCTGTGTTGTTGCTATCGTCGTTGTCGCCGTCACTGTCATTGTCAGTCTTGTTGTTGGTATTCACAATTATCCTCCACATAGCTGGCAATTCTTTGCAATGTGCATCTTTCCGTTGCAGATTTGCCATTTCAGTCATGGCTGCAAGCATATGCATACGGACGCTTTGATTTCAATGTATCGCTGGTGGCTGTATCTACAAGACTTGGCATATAATCCTTTGCTGGATTGGTAACTTCAGAAGAGTCATTTTGAACCTATCGCGCAAGACCATGCGTCATACGACGTTCAGCTGGAGGCAGACGCGCAAAGATGCAGCACATGGTGTCAGCCAACCCGCATGTCTTGGGTGCCTCGTCCTCTCCGTGCTTCGATTGGTCGCCTGGTCTCTGGTTGAACTGGCTCAAGTTTCTTGAAAAGATTGCACTCCCAGAGAATTTCTTAGACCTGAATGGTATCTTGCACACACCTGCCAGACCATTCGTAATTCGAAGTGATGGGTGCGACGTGCTCGAAAGTCGATTGCCCGGACTACATAGACCCGGAGGATGTTGCGGACCCTGATATGATGGGGTTTGGAGTATGAATCTCTTGCAGAAGATGATTACGAGCCGTCAACTGACAGTAACGACAGGTGCTTGTGGCATTCTTTATGCCTGCGTTCTTGTCCAATGCTGTGCTGGGCGTGGCGTATCTGTCTCGCACATTGCCCGATAACATGTATGCTCACTTCGACGAGAAATTGGTGTCGAGGCTCAACTCTACCTTGAAGAGTTGGAGGCGACTCTGGAATTTCTTGGAAAAGCACCCCAAAACATGGACCTGGATGCGAATGGTGAGATACGAGGCGCTGCTTCTTACAATCAGCGACCAGGTACTTGTCGCAAGCCTTGTGATTCTTATCGCGATGTACGCGCAGATTTGCAGCGTCTCAAATCTCACTTTCAGCGTAGCTATCACGCTATCGTACTTTGCTACCGGCGTTCATGCGTTGACTCTCGTCGCCTTGAAGGGGTACTTTGCTGGGCACCAGACACAAGCCAGGATCCGACTAGGCTCGATGGTTTTCATCACCGTATTCCAGATAGCCAGCGTATTCCTCTTCAAGATCGCCGAACAAGGCTACCTCTCCAATCACGTCGTTTGTGATATCAAAGACCCTAACGTGGACTGGGCGTATACCATGTGGAGTTCACTCGCCGAAAGTTGGTTCATTAGCTACGGTCTTTATAACGCCATGTTCAGCATTTGGGAGCCTCACTCGCAATACTGTCCCGTCAACGCCTGGGTATTGGGCTTACTACGACTATCATATCGAGATGAAAACTGTCGAGTGGACAGAGACGAGCTGGTGATTCAAGAAGGACGAAGGCTTGGCCAGTCTCGCGCTCGTCACATCCACAAGCTTCAACAGCATCCTGACGCCATTTTAACGAAGCTGCGCATTATCGTCCCGGTCATTGCGATAGACTTTTCAACATCAACATTCTGGACGATATCAGGCTCTGTATTCTTTACGTTGTGGACTACAGAGATGTTCGTGGAAATACTATTTTACGGACGCTACGAAAGCATTGATGTCAAGTCCCTCCTCGAACCCAAGTTTGGCCAGCTTCTGCCAATACTTCTTCTTCTGGTCTTCGTGTTCAGCTTCATGGAAGCCAGCGGTATGTATCTTGATGGGATGTCAGTGGAAAAAGCTGGAGACTAACGCAAAGGACACAGGGACCCCGAATTTGACAACAGACGTGCCACCTGGATGTAAATCAAAGGCATCCGACACAAACTCCATACTTGATAATAATATTGGAGTCTCTGGAGGTTCTAGAAGTTCTGAAGATTCTCTCAACGAAGTACCGAAACTGAACCAAGGACAAGCTGTCGCAGTGGAGGCATCAAGCACTAGAGAGCGACATGCAGCATATGTCCGTCTCGAAACTACCGACGCGCAAATCGATCACACCCCGGCCGCGAATTCGACTGATACAACTCGCCTGATAGAGCTACAGGCCCGGACCGACACCTTCGGGCAGGAGGCTGGACGTCTTGAGCTGGCCTCCTTCGAAGAGCTCATGGAAGCGATTTACACTAAGGCCCCAAAGTACAGTAGAGTTTTTGTCCTCGCGACGTTAGCGGCACAACTGTGCTTCTTTGTTGCCTTGTTTTTCTTCTTCAACCCGACTGTCACGGCTCTGTTCTGTTTGAAGACCCTCGTTGTCTTGAAACGAATAGTAGTGGGGTTTAGGGGCTTCAGACGGGTAAGAAAGGAGCGGATGAACAGAGAAGCTGATCAACATCAAGAAGATGAGCAGCGACAAGAACAAGTAGATAACCGGAATTATATTGAGGGGTTAACTCCAGAGTAGCCGAACAGGCAGCTGGCAGGTCTTCAAGGTGCATAGTATGGTCGCATGAGTGAAATTCTGGGGATGGGGATGCTCAGGGAGGAACTCAAGAAAGTTGCCATGGGGCCCATATACCAAGTTTGCGAATACATCACTCCTTATATTGAGTACTTATCTGAATGACAGTATGACTACTAATGCTATTACATCGCAAGCCTGTATTGAATGCAATCGGCTCTTGCAAAGGCCCACAAATACTCGTCAGTCTGCCAGAGACTTTTCTTCGGCCATTGAAGATTCTTAGGATGAACATTTACATTTGTTGGTTAACGTGTGCCACGCCATATTCGCTGCCCACGGAGGTAAGCCCCCCCCCTTGACCAGCTAGCTGGCCCCGCGAGACGAACACCAATGGATCACAGTCTGGCTTCAAGAGACGGGATCCTTCTAAGTCGTACTGCCTACTACGAATACCGGGAAAGCGCTTATTCGGACTGACAGACTTTGCTTATCTTGTGCTGCTCTGGTCGTCTTTTGGTATGCTACTGTGCGCGTGGATGATCATATACGTAGAGAGAAAACATGGTCTTGGAGACAATGCATATAATACAGTACCTGACTCCAGAATTAAAGCTTTACTCGACAAACACTTGCTTCCTCAACCTTTGATAAGGTAGAGCTTGCATGCGGCGACAGTTGTATTGTGGGCGACCCAACGGACGCTGACATCCATGATAGAGTTCGGGGGTGAGATCTTCGATAATATTTCTGAGCCTGGTTGACGTCCCGCAAGGTCCTTGCTGCTTTCATCTTCTCAGTCATTGCGTCTCACTTCTTCGTGGTGTTATTCTACTCACAAATTAAAGAACGGGGTCATTGAGGACTAGAACGCAGGCTGATTTCTCGGCGGTTCCTTGAAAACCCCCACCATTCAATTATCGCCCAGTCGCCGCATGGCTGGCGATAGTAAAAGCGTTTACAGCCTGATGACGTGAATTGAACCGAGCCTTTCCCAGGTAGTTAATGACCGCCAGAACATTGTTTTTCCTACATACTAGCTCTGGACCTTTTACTACATCAGTCATTGACAATTGGCGGCAAAAGGGTCCATCGATCTAATTCGACTTACTCCAATTGATGAGCTGCATTCAGTTGGATGAAGAGTTGTTCGTGGTGGGCTATGAAAAGTCAGGGATGCATGCAAATATGCATGCCGGATGAGTCAACGGCGGGCTGGGCAGGTTCGTGAGACGAGCACAGCCCCAACAAGCACTCTGGCGTACGGTGAATGGCGGATATTATACAGCCTCAAATAATGTTCAAACGCTGGCAACCACTTCAA